AACTCTATTCTGCTACTTTGTTTTCTTGCTGTAAGAATGTAGGAAACAGCAATTTGGTATTTGGATATGGACCAGTTTTCCCTACTTAGCGAAAACAATAAAAAATTGTGATCTGCCATTCTAAAATTCTTTGAAAAAAAACCAAATTTTCGCATGTTTGCGCACAATAAGATAACTAGGCTTCGCCATTTCTTTGTGGATTTCTTTCACTGAAAATTGAATTTTACTCAGACAGATTTCAAACTCTAATCTCATTAGAGCGCTCTTTCCTGAGATACCGAGAACACTGGGCAAAAAATTGTCTGCAGCATTTGTAGGATCCGCAAAAGCAACCGAAATTATTTATTAGCCAACCTAATACAAAAGAACGAGACTGTTATACTACAGTGAGGGTTCTGCTGGAAACAAGGTCTACTTAGCGTTAAACTTAAAAAATGTTGAGGTCTTCCTTCTATTGTAACCTGGTGTAAATTTGGTCATGTTGCTAATCCTCTTCAATTCTTAGCATAAGTTCCAAACTGTCTGATATCACAAATTTTGCATCAGCTTCAGCGGAAAGACCTAAGAAGTAGCAGTAGATCAAACTAGTTGGTAAAGTGCTCTCCTCACCAGGGCTTGGCACAGGTTGCTTATAAGCAAGCTGGAGATTGTTTTTGGGACAAAAAACAAAAGGGGTTTCGTTTTTGTGGCCGAAAGACACAAAATTTGCGACGTATTTTTTGATCGACGGTTCGTTTTTTGGATTTTTGGAAATTATGGCCTAGGGTCAAAGGGGACTTCGTAAAATTCGCGAAAGTCAATGAGGACTTCCTTTCTTGCATTTTCAACTAGCCACCTCGTGCCGAGTCCTGCTCATAGCCCCACAAGTGTTCGCTTGCCAAAGCTTTTCACCTTGAAGCAGATTTGTATTTTGTTCGCAGTTAAAGGAAAAAGCCCTGTCTGGGAGGTGGTAGTATCGAATAACCCGCGGAAAGTCTTTAGATCATAATTTAGCAGGAAATAATCAGAACTTAACCCAACCATACCAAACATGCTGTATATCATCGGATTCATCTTGAAACGCGGATCACAAATAAATGTTTAATATCTGCCAAGCGACTACCTAGAAGGAGTTATGTGCGTTCAGATGTGCGATTTGTCAAGTGTTCTGTGGCGCATGTTCCTTATTCAGGTTTTTGAATGAATTTTTGAATGTGCCTCTTTCCGTGATTAACATAATCATAGCCACTGTAATTGCGCGCCATAAGGCTGCGTTCTGAGGAAATACATTCGTCGAAACTCGAAAAATTGCCCATATTTGAACGCTTAAAACTCCTTTCAGATAGTCGCCGGCAGATAAAAAACATATACTATTTGTTATATATTTGTTTGTTATATATCTGAAATCAGCGTTCTTAATCGAGTCCAGTGATATATGGAATGGCTGGGTTAAGTTCTGACCATTTCCTCGTTAGCAAAATGATAATCTGATAATCTGCATGAATGAAGGAATATGAAGGCTTATCTGCCAAAGAAGCGAAAACGCCCGGACGCACAGTGTACCATCGTTGTTCACTGGTGTAGTATTACATCAAAGTGAACAACTGAAACAAAAAGGATGTAGACCAAGGTTCAACGAGGATAACAAGCAAGGTGTGGGTGGATCCAGCCCAGAACACGAGACCAAGATTTGTGATGCTGCTGGTTTGGCTAGCGATACGAGAGCATTACGCTCATCACACAAATCGCAGCCAAGCCAGTGTGACAGTTGTCCGCGCAGCGCTTGTTTCGACTCAATTTGCGTGTGTTGGTCTTAGTGAGCAGCCGATGAACGCCGGTCGGCAGCGAGAAAGCGCATCGTTTGCGATATTTGAGCGGCTCAGTTTCGTCTTTGCGAGGGGTGGGGGGGGGGGGGGGGCAAGGCGACAACAGCAGCAGAACATAAACAACGAAAACTTGTATTTGTACTGAGAAGTTGTTCCTGCTCAGCTGATTGGAGATCGTATGTCATAGGAGACTGTAATGTCTAAGAAGTTTTGCTTTTTCTCATGGACTCTGGGTCATGCATCATGAATTAAGCGCGGTATAGTCTTCGCGTGAACATAATATGGAGCCTATACATCAATTTCAGAGCATATACATCTTAAATATGTAGACCTCTCTGGAGATTGTGCATTGCTTACATATAGCGTACACGAAAATAACCAAGATTTTTATGCACGATCGTTTGAGTTCACGAGATGCATATTTTACCAGAACGTTTGAATCGTTTTCCAAAACAAAAGAAATTGGAACTGCGGCAGCATTATACTAAGCATGCTACATCCGTTCGTTATTTAGATAACTACGGTGACTTTAGTAATGTTCATAAGGTTGCGCTTTCTAAAAGACTACTGCGCTTCCGTGAAGATCAAATGCTGAGCTTCCCATGCCTTCGATGCTATCTCTACGAGCTATAGTCCCCAAAAAAATTCTTTCTTTCAATTCGGTCATGGCGAATTAACTTTGAACCGAGACTTTAGCAGAGCATTGACGACATAAATACATTCCATGTGACAAATCAGATACATCGTTGCATGTGCCAGCCAGAATCAGCATGGCAATTTTCCTCCAAATCACATAACTCTTTTAAAACAAAAAACTAACACGATCTCCATGGATGCAAAGAAGAAAGCGAAAATCAGGATCCCGACTTGATTACTAAGGGATTAGGTAAGTCTGACAAGGGAGGTCCATTTGGTCGAAGTGGCCTTTTTACATGAAATTGATACGACTGTAAAGAGCATCGAACGCTGATTTCAAACCTGTCTTCGTTATCTGCCAAGCGCCTCTGGACGTCGAGTTATGAGCGTTTTGGGTAAAAATTGAATGCGTTATTAGCATACAATTTGTCAGAATTGTCAAACGGTCCGATGTTGATTATCAGAGCACTCCATTTGAACAACGCCTTCTGTCCAAAACACTCATACGCAACGCTGCTCTATTTGGGCGCTAAAAAGACGGTAAAATTTGACCAATTTCAGCTAACCAATTTCATAAAACGGATCAAGTTGAAAGATAATATTTAAGAAGCATTTCTGGGAATTTCGCTTACCCATAATAGGTAATCGAGATAACAGTCACAGTCAGACTGCGCTAGGTAGCTTCCATTGTCTCAAAGGCGGTTCTTATGACCAGCCGAGAATTTTAGCGTTCAAGACGACATGTGAGATGTTTTGAGAAGCTGCAGAAGATTGTACGCATCTCATCGCAGAAGCTACAGTAACAGGTGATGATGAAATTCCGATGTGCACATCGTTGCTGTTCTATTTTTAGCGATTGAAGTAAAAACATTTCGTTGCTTACAACGATGCAAATTTTCAAACAAATTGTGCGCCAAGCTGATAAGTACCAAAAGAGAAAAAGGTGCAGGATTACATAAGTACTGGATTTTTTTCTTACTGATACATTCACTCGCCCAACTTTTAAGAAACACAACGATGAAACTCAGAATTTAATTTTATCTTCCTACTTTCTGAATTTATAGCGGTTCTACCATAGTTTTGCAGATAACTGTAAAGATAACTGTAATAGATGGACTAGATTCATCAGCTACCATCTCACAGTAGAATTTTAGATGTTATAGTGATGGAGTACATAAATCATTTCCAAAGATAAGTGTGGTGTCAGCCATAGTCAATATAGTCAATATATTTTACACAAAATAAACTTATTTTTGATTTCATGAAATGAAAAATTAACACTTGCTGCATTCGCCACTAATATTTGACTACTTTCTCAATATTTTTTTTAACACTTGCTGCATTCGCCACTAGTATTTGACTACTTTGTCAATATTTTTTTCATGTGGTGGAGCTTTTTATCGTTGATTTAACTTCGCACTAGTATATGGTAGACGGTAGACCACTAGCAAACCTCTTCATCTACAGCAGCTTTATTTTTGATGCCACCTGTTTACATGAGAGTAGAGGACATTTTGCACTTTCTAAAATTATTTAAAAATGAAGACAATAACACCCACGTTTTAAAGTGCTCGTAAACAGTAGGCGCTACTATTTTAGTATTGTGAGTAGTTTAAGACGTAGGCGTAGTTGTTGCTACCAGTGAAATATAATTTTAGTAAATGCGAAGTGTTCCCGCCTAATTTCCTGTCTGCTGGCAATATGCTTCGCAACTGTGGCGCAGAGCAAATATCACTGATATGTTGGACTTCTAACGCCGAAGAGGAAGTTGCTGGTACCCAATAAGGTAAAAAAATCGAATAAACTGACAACCAATTCTTAAAGCTTGTAGCTATCAAAACTGAAAAAAATCAAGTGTATGAATTGTGTCAGTTTGAGGAATAGGAATCTAATGTAATTATTTTAAACGTTTGCTTCATTAAAACTCATATTTCAAAATAATGCAGGCTTGAGGTCTTGCTATGTCCAATACCCTTTTTATACCCGAAAAAAAAATGCATCCATTGAATGACAAAACCAAACTTTTTTGATGGGAATACTTGACCGGAACACAAAAGTGTTGTTATTGTAAAATATCAATGATATTCCGTTTTTGGGATAAAAAACGAGGAAGTATCGTTTCTGAGGCCGAAAAGACAAAAAACTGTGAAGTTTTTTAGTCAATTTTTTTGGGTTTTTACGTTTGAGGTTTAGGGTCAAAGGGAACTTCGTAAAAATTCGCAAAAGCCACGATGAACTTCGTTTTTTGCATTTTCCTAAATCCATTTTGTGCCGAGCCCTGCACTGTAAGTCAACAAATTTGCCTGGAAACAGCTACCCCTTCCAGAAGAGATAATAGAATGCTGCCTTAGCAAAATTATTGAATATAGCTTTGTGTAATCAGCCGGCTTTGATCACCTACTACTTACCAACAAAAAATATGCATGCATTGTTAAAGAACTCTTTTATAAAGCAAAACAAGCATTGTATGGATGTGAGCAAAAGCAAATGAGCTTAGAACTTCAGGAGCAATTGAGCTTAGGACTTCAATCTGTTCTCAATCCAAGAAAATTTACTTACCTCGTAACTTGATTGTGGGCTCTTCATCGGTTGGACAGCGTTCAACAAGCGATTCGTAATAGGAAAAACGCTTTCGAAACCACGCCATGACAATACTATGACATTTCTAGAAACACTCAAGCTACATTCACGAACGGATCACGCTAAACAAGGACAAATTGTTGTGAGAACCACGCACAGGAAAACAGTGACGAATCCATGGAAATGTACATATGCAAAGTATGTGTGGATGAGAAGTGCGGAGAAGAGCAAAAATACGGAAACGGCGAAGAGAGAAAAAGGGAGTTGACAAATAGGAAATGGGGTTCAGAGCAAACAATCCAAGGAAGCTTTGGTACGTGTAGGGTTCATGCGCAGCTTAGCACGTCTCACGCAGACGCTAAGCTGCGAATGACTAAGTAGATGAATCAGATAACGAACATTATAGTCTAGCCGTCGGTGAAAATCACGGGGCTCTGGTGAGTTTTCTGTGTCTGATCGGATCTCAAAAGCCAGATGAAACAATGGGAAGGAAAAGCCGAATATGAAGGAGAAAAGGAGGCAACGTGTTGCTCCCACGATCCGGAGTTTTATGCGTCGTCTTATGGCTTAGACGCAAGTCATATATAAGAAAGAAAGTGCTAAAATAATAATTTTGAGACGAAAAAAGCACAATCGGACTTCGATTTTTTCAAAAGAATTGCCAAGCTTTTGCTATTACTCCAAAACAGGGCTGGGCACAAGTGGCTTGTAAGCTGGATATCGTTTTTGAGACAAAAAGTAAGACGGGTGTCGTTCTTGAGCTCGAAAAGACACAAAAATTGTAATTTCAGCCAACGTTTGGTTTTTTGAAGGTTTTTTTCTTTCATTTAGAGTTTAGGGTCAAATGGGACTTCGTAAAAATTTGCGAAAGTCGTTTTTTGCATTTTCCAAAAGCCACATTGTGCCAAGCCCTGCTCCAAAAACACAAAAAATCGCCATGTTAACACGCCTTACCAATTCAATAATGGCTGCAAAGCTCCTTGTTTCATGCTTATTATAATCGTGCATCCTACTGTTCTAGAGAAAGATTATCATCAATATGGAAAATAATGCGCACAGATCGTACACATTCCGAAACGAAACTCTTTTGCCAATCAATTCCTGATGTGGAATAGCTTTCGAGATGTCTAAATATAGCTCTAATCTTTGATTATGACCCTATAGACAAGTTATGAAGAATTTTTGAATGTTCAGTAACGAAGCAGCAACCGAGAAAGTGAAGCTCTCGCCCTCAAAACTTCATCAACTGCAATTGCATAAGCTATCCCAAAACCTCATTTAAGCACTAGTAAAGCCATAAATCTGAGTAGATACGGCTAATAGGAGAAGCAATTTTGAGTTCTTTTATCTTTTATAGGGGTAATGATTTTTCCTTTATGCCAGTAGTCTCCAAGGATAGTACAGATGTAAGAAGATAAGGAGAAAGAAATATTTGGCTATTGCTAAAGCAGAACGCATGAAAATGTAAAACAACTAAGAATCTTGCTCCTGACAGGTTGTGCCGGAATATATTTTTAAAGACCTTTTTCTCTTTGGTATTTTCACAAATATCAAGTCGAGCATAGCTGTTCCGAATCCAGCTTGGATATTCCATTTCCACTGACACTATAAGCTCTTCCTTTTAGCTCTCTTTTTTCGTTCTTCCAACAGCAAACGTGTGGTAACTTTCCGATAAAAATAAAACTCCTATTTTGTTTACAAACCATGAAGACGTCGCGGAGATATTTGCGCTATCTGCTCTGTGGCTCAGAACATTTGAGAAAACAACAAAAGCGTGATGTTCATTCAATGACAGATTCAGGAAGTTTTTTCAAGAATAAATATTAAAACAAAAGCGCAGAAGCGTACTTCGTACTTTAAAGCTGATTTTGGTTCGGAAAGCATGGAAAATAACCAAAAGGATTGAAAGTTGTGTTTTCAATGAGACGAGCTTAGCGTGTAGCACATAGTAAAGTTAAAACTCATTTACTCTCATCAAGGAGATGATCAGGATTTTGCAAGCTATACTTACACTAGGGTGATGATGTAAGAAGAGCAATCAACATATGTTGTATAATTACACATCAAAACAAATAAATGCAGAACTTGAAATCAAATTTAGAGACAAGGCCCGACACGAGGTGGCTTTTGAAAAATGCAAAAACAAAGACCCTCTTGACTTTTGCAACTTTTTGCGGTCCCCTTTGACCCTAACCCTAAAGCTAAAAAAACTTTAAAAAACGAAACTTGGACTGAAAGAAACGCCGTCTTTTTGCTCAAAAACGATACCCTCTTTGCTTTTCGTCCCAAAAACGATATCCAACTTGCTTACAAGTCACCTGTGCCGAGCCCTGTTTAGAGAACTATGCCTTTTTAGCTGAAAATGGTGGTAATGCTTTGTTGCTTGTCAAAAGTAAAGAACAAGAAAAACAAGGACCTGGAAGTACTTGCATATGAACAACTAGCAATTAATCAATGGACAATAAATTCCATTATTATCTAACTAATTAGGAAACAGAAAAATTTGAGTTTATAAGTATAAGAAGCCTTGTTACTAGCTTTGAATTGCCATGAGGTGTAAGAAATCAGAGAAAAACCATCACTGGAGGTATAAAGCGACAGCGCGGGAGCCTTTCGCCGAGAAGTCTCTGACGAAGAAGTGACATGCATGGTGACATGTGTTCTCCACACTGGATTTTTAGGACGCAAAATACGTGTCTCGCTGTCACTGTGAACTTCGAAGAAAGCAAGTGAAAATAGTGAAAAGTGCAAGATAACCGATTGACCCCATTTCGAAAAAAATTCTTCTTTTGTAGTTCACTTTTTTTTCAAAAACGAAATCGAGATCTTTCACCGAAAGTGGTGTCTTCGAAGGAGATTTGTACTGCAGATATGTATATTTTCTCGTCTGTTCACCTTTTGGGACATTTTGGGAACTTTTTTGAGGACACAAATGCATTCCGCAAAAACGTTAACTTCACATCTCAAACCTTTGTTCGCTGCAAAGTGTGCAAAAGTTCCTAAAAACATAGCAAAAGACAAGCATATTTTAGCAAGTGTTTGTGGAATAGATTAACGCTAGAAATCAGTTTTTATACCTTCGAGCCCCGAAAACGAAGTTCCGTTTATGACCATGGATGTTTGCCTAACAGAATCTGATACGTAATAAGGAAGTGATGTTATACTATGTTTTTGTAATCGCGTATCTTGTTGTTGTCCCCTCCTATAAATAATGACTAGTTCTCCCCTGAACTCAAACAAAAACATTTTTTCTTGTAATCCTATTTTTCGGTGTCAAGATATTCTGGCTACCTATCTGCCAACATCGTAGCTAACACCAAACACAAATATCATAACGATGTGCCAAAGCTTCGGAGTAGTTCCAGTTTTGCTGGTTTTTTTTTCATAGTTTTGTCAGAGCTCTGCTAGTTCGGAATTAGGCAAAGTTGTTGATTGGGGGAAGAAGACCAGGTTAAAGTAAAAGTAAACAGGTGAAGGAAGTGATTACAGCTCGAAAAAAGAGGGAAGGGTAAAGAGGCGTTTCCTCAGATTATGATGGCTATATCAACTTGATTGAGAGTTAGATATAAAAATTGAAGACATAATATAATTATGCATGCACGTATTCTCTACATCACGATCGAAAGAAAACTTACGAGCTTATGAAATATTCCCTATTAAGGAAGAATAAAGCGTCATTGCCAACAGGTTCAAGGTGGTTTTTCAAAGGGAAGAAAAGGCTTCGGAATTTATTCCAATCAGTTGAACCTATCCTGAACAACTTTCCTTGGAGCTCTCATATAAAAAATGATTGGCAGGTTTTTTATGCAAATTGTAAAACCGCAGCAGTTCTCAAAACGTAGTTTTTTCATAGTTGATTAGAACGCTATGAAGTACAAATCCACTTTGTTAAATGTTATTTGGAGAGACTAAGGTACAATTTGTGATGAAAAATTTCGCACACTGCTTTGCCAGCAGTACTTCTGGATAGACAAAACTTTTAATCTGATCAAAGGCTCTTAGAGGCTTTGCAAGAAATTTCGAGCGAAAATTTGCTATCTTATTTCCGTAACCACATACCAAAAAAAAAGAAAGAAGAAGATTCTAACAAAAAAGAGATTTTATTTGTTTACTCTATTGTATTCATGCTCAAAGAAATTTCGAGTTATGTTTGGAATTTCCAACGAAAACTAGATTTAAGATATGCTTTGCAACTGCTGCAAAATGTCTGAAACTTTACAGCAACTGCGTCGAATATTTGAACAGTTGTCTCCATTTTTACTATGTTTTTTGCATCGGTTTGGTGAGAAGTGCAGAATAGAAAAAATGTGCTCAAATGGCAACAGTAAATGCAAAAGTAAATCGAGATACAAATGGTTTACTTTACTTCTACTCAAGTGCGTACTTTTTGTATACCTCGAATGTTCGGCAAAAAATACACATTGATGGGAAAAAATTGGCTGGTTTTTGTATGCATGTGTTCAACAGCAGTGTGAGAAAAGTTAGGAGTTTTGAAAATATGAAAAGTCTCAAGAGATTTTCCACGAAGATATCACAGTCACTTGAATTGGCGCCACAGAAGGTGCAAAAATGTTGTGTTTCTTGAATTCGCCTCCTAAAAACTTTGGCAAGTAGATCAAATTGCTTTTCAACCTATTACGTTTTGGAGGTTTGAGCAAAAATATTTTAATAAGCTCCACGAATTTTGAAAAATGCAATAAAACCACGATCCGTTTTAATGTATTCTTTCGCTTGATTATGCATTTACCAACAAAACAATTAGTGGTAAAACTTTAGACTGTTCTCACAAAAACAAATTTTTTGACTCTTTTCGTACTGGCACCAAACTGGCTGCAGAGATTGGCTAGTAGTCCAAAAAGAAATCTTATGAGCCGAAGGATGGCTGTATGTCACATAGCTCTCCAAGAAAAGAATTCATTCTTTTTATTTTTACCGAGTATTGCTTTTGTAATTTAATAAAATAGATTGTAAATCTAAAGTTGATTAATCTTGTGGAATGTAAAGAGGTCGGGTTTTCAATGTCCGATTTTGAGGCACCGAAGATGGATTCAAGAGCTTACGTAAAGGAATCACAGAAACGAGTCATAGTAAAGATTCGGCCTTCAAATATAAGGTCTCACTTGA